GCTGAGCATGCATATCCTGTGATCCAGTAACTCCTCTCCTAGGCATGTACCCAACAGAAATTTGCACATCTACTCACCAGGAATATTCTAGAACACTCATTGCAGCACTATTTCCAATAGCCTCAAACTAGAAATTATCCAAATGCCCTTCAACAGAATATATACATAAGTTGTGGAACATTCACACTATGTAACTATGCAGTCATGAGGATGTGCATTATGAAGCCACATGCGATGGATTGGATGAATTTCACAGATGCAATGCTGAACAAAGGAAACTGAGGAAAGTACACAGTGCCTGGCTCCATCTCCATGGGGACATACACGGCTGTGAGAATGGTAACATGCAGGGGCCACAGACCTATTTCTTGATCTGGGTGCTAGTGACACAAAAGGGTTCACTTTGTAAAACTACATCAAGTTCAACACTTATGACTGTTTTCTGCTTGTATAGATTTTACCAGTAAAAGTTTTACTTTTTACTTTACTGATTTGGACAACAGGTTAGATGGATACCTAACTCTCCCCTCCCCCACCCTTCCCATCTACTTCCCGTTGGCCTGGACCCCTAGAACACCAACACACCTTACCACCTAGCCACACTATTAAACAGAACCTCTACACCTGCCCTCCCATGTAGTCTAAAAAAATGAGCTGCCTCAGCTATCCTGAAATAAAGCTGACCTGAACTCCCTCCCCATTCCCCACACATTCTTGTTGGTTCGCCAGGCTGTCCTTGAGGGTAATGTGTAAGTCAACTCCGATCACTGGAAAATGTTTCCTGGGAGAAGAATGGTTCTGATGGCAACTCCTCTGGGACCCCTCAGGCCTTGGCCAACCAGCTGATGTCCCAGGCCTGGAACAGCTCCCTCTCCCCGTGTGTCCTTCCCACCCGAGCCATCCAAATACTAGGAAGGCCTGCTCAAGCCCATCTTTTTCTACCTTTTGGAGCTCCAACCTTCTTTCTTTAAGCATCTGCCTCCCCCACTTTTCAAGTTTCAAAAATAGAGAGGACTTTGCTTTATTCATTGGCTGTACCCCAAGAGTTGGGACTAGCTCCTGGTTACACAGTAGTCACTCAATGTTTTCAGCCTCATGGCAGTTCCTGGGTTGTTATGCAGCTTTCTCTTGGTGTATTCCTGGTCCTGATTCCTCTACTCAGAAATTCGGGAAATCTGCTCGGACTCATTCATCTTTTTACCCCCACCACTCACCCTTCTGTTCAAGAGGAAAGCAAGGAAACGAAGTGAATCCGGGGCATTTGCATCCAGAAAGCCTGAAGGTGGGGGTCAGTGGGTAGAGTTATTTGGATTTCAAGGGTGTGGGTAATCCTGGAGAGGAACAAGCTACTATATTTATTTGCCTACGAATTTATTTATACCTGCGCCTCCTTCCAGAGAGGGTTTGAGGTAGCTTACAAAAATACACACAATGCAAGGTAGAAAACAAGTCGATGAGCAAAATCAGGACGAGGGGAAAACAAGACTGGGAAAAACAGGACCACGTCGGCTGGCTAGAAGCGGGCCCAGAAGTTGGCCAAGCTTTCCCACATCCCACTCGGGGCAGAGGATCCTTCCTCCTGCCCAAGCTCCTCCTGGGGAGGGCCACACGTCCCGCCGGGATAGGAGGCTGCCCCGCGGTCAGCAGCATCTGCAGAAAGGGGCTGAGGAAACCCAGGCGGCCGCCAGCCCCAGAGCCCCGGCCTAGGAGCCTGCGCGGCCTCAGGGAGGGCTCTGTCGAAGGGCGCCTGGCGCTGGGGCACATGCTCGGGGCTGCACCTGGGCGCCGGGGTTGCTGCCTAGAGCCTGCGACCTGGGACAGGGTGTGGCAGGGGCGGAAGGTTCGCTTTTCCACTCAATCCTGCAAAGGTGCCGCGGCTCGCAACTTGAGAGCCCTCCAGCTAACTCCGCTCGCGGCCTACTAAGCGCGCGCTCGGCGCGCGGGGCACAAAGATGGAAGGAGCAGCACGCTTCCACCCCGCCCCACCCCCAGCGCTCCAGACAAAGGGGCAGCCGCCCCTCCCCCACCGCCCTCCTCTCCCCTCCTCGCAGGCCGCCCTTCGGTGACTTCCTCTCCCTCCAGGGCCGGCCCCAGGTCTCCTCAGGAACTGCCTTTCACCTGGGCGTGGGGCGGGAGCAGCGCGCGGAGGCCGGCCGCCCCAGGCCCGCGCCCTCCCCTTTGAACCCACTCTGGGCCTCCAGCGCCTTCCCGCCCGGGCGCCCGCGCCCCGCCCCCACCGGCCGAGCACGTGCTGCCCCGAGCCCAGAGCGCCATCCCGCCGGCCCGGTGGGGGCTGGGCCCGGCTGCCCGCCCCGCTCCCCACCCCCACCGGAAACATTCCTGAGGCATTCCTGAAACTTGGAGGCCCGGCCCCTCGAGTTCCCCACCCCGCCTCCACGCCGGGCGCTGGGTTTGCCTGGCGTCCCCCCTCCACCGGCTCGCCCCTGAGGAGGGGGCTGGACCAGGGCCTCGGCTGACCGGGGAGGAAGAAGGGGAGCCCTGAAAAACATGAGTCACAGCCCTGTGTCACTGGGCCGCATTGCTATTCCCTGCATCACAGGAGGTGTGGAAGGCCGCCTCGGGGACCAGGCGCAGGGAGGTGCACCGGGAGGGCCCGGGCCGGCCTGCAGGGCGCGCCTCTCCGGCTGCGCCTTCTTCCCACACCGCCCTCCCCGCCATCTTCCCACTTTGGCTTCCTCCTCGCTCCGTGCAACAAGTCTTTGTTGAACCAGGCGCCAAGCGGGCCAGGCCCGGCGGATATGGTGTGCGTCAACTCAGCCCCTGCCCTCAAAGCGCTTCCAGGCGGCCTCTGACCCGCCCTTCACTTTTTAAAGAAGTCGCCGTGGAGGAGATCCGGGTCCGAAGTGGGACCGCGTGTCTCCAGAACCCCATCCAGGTCACCTAGAAGGGTAACTCCTCCCTCTGGGCTACCTGCTCAAGGGCCAATCGTTTGTTTCGCTTGAAGGCTGCACCTTGATTACGGCTCACTTGCGGCAGTTAATAAATTTAAACACTTAGCATTTCCCAAGTTTCACGTCGGAATTTCACAAGACTTGTATTTCACCCGCCAACCACACGCCGGTTGACGCCGAAACGCACATGCTGACACCTGTCCGCCCAAGGGAAATCTACGAGCCGTCGATCTGGGCGAAAGGGGCGGCGAGTAGGCCGCGGAATTCTCCAACTGGCGCGCTTATCTCCACCCGCTCCGCCCGCGTGGGCCCCCGCAGGCGCGAGTACCCGCCCACCCCCACGCGCCCTGCGGGGGTCGGGCCCACACGCCCGGAAGGACCCCAGAGGTGACTGACCCGGGACCCCATTCCAGGCAGGAAGCACGCCCCCGTGAACCCCCACCCACGAGAAAAGCTTCTTCGAGACTCCTCGGCGCCCGCTCCCGTATTTCCTCGCCCGGGACTGTGGGAGTGGGCCGTGGACTCGGGCTGCCGTGACAGGCCTCCCGCACAGGCCGGCCCACGGACATCACCCACCCGTGCGCGGCGGC